ACATTATTATTCTCTAAGTCCATCCATGTTGTTGCAAATGGCAAGATTTTATTCTTTTTTGCCTGAGTAATATTCCATTGTGTATATATATATGCCATATATTCTTTATCCATTCATCTACCAATGGACATTTGGGGTGATTCCATATCTTAGCTATTGTAAATAAGGCTGCAATAAACATAGGAGTGTATATATATTTTTGAATTAGTGTTTTCATTTTCTTTGGGTAAATACCCAGTAGTGGAATTGCTGGATCATATGGTATTTCTATTTTTAATTTTTTGAGGAATTTCTATAATGTTTTCCACAGTGGTTCCATCAATTTACATTCCCACCAGCAGTGTATCAGGGTTCCTTTTTTTCCCACATGCTTGCCAACACTTGTTATTTCTTGTGTTTTTGATTTTAGCCATTGTGACACGTGTAAGGTAATATCTCATTTTCATTTGCAATGCTAATAATCTTAACAATAACCTTTCACATGTATGTTTCCATGGAGCACAAAGCAACAACATATTCCATATCCTAGTTGTGCCTTATAAATATTCTCACTAGTCTCACAGGGAAATTGAGGTCTAGAGAGGGGAAATAACTTGTCCAAAGTAATTGAGCCAGTCACATGAACCCCCTTCTATGTTTACAATTTTGTCCTCACAAACTTGCCAAGAGGCAGAAAGATAATTTTAGCAGCAGGAAATCTGAGATAGGAAGCAAGCAGGCTATTGGCAAGGTCTGAAAGGGTAAACCTGGATTCCAGGCTTGAAAACCCAAGTGAAAATTACCTGGAACTGGAACTAGCTAGCTGGTTGGTTTTGTTGTTGTTGTTTTGTTTTGTTTTGTTTTTGTGGTTGTATGTGTGTTGTTTGGGTTTTTGTTGTTGTTGTTTACCACTGTTACCAATTTTGATACTGGAAGCAGGAGAACTAAACAAGCTTTATGGAAAAGTTTTAGAATGGCTCTTCTCAATCAAGTTCAACCTATTTCTGTAGCCATATGTCTCTTTAGACCCTCATGCTTAAACTACACTGGCTGACTCACTGATTCCCCAAACATAGCATATGCCTTTTTTTTTTTTAACCTCTGGGCCTTTGCTCAGCCTGAAATGCCTTATTTTTCCTTCCATTCTCAATTAAATCTGACTCATTCTTCAAGACCTGGTTCAACGTTTGTCTCCTCTGGGAAACTTTCCCTGTATACTGGGACAGGCATTATCTTTGGTTCTTGTATTGTCTATATGCTTCAATCTATCTGAGCAAGTATCCACCAGTGTTTGTTTGTATACTTCCCTACTAGACTGTGAGTTACTTGAGGATGGGGACTAGACCTCAGTTATCTGTGATCAGTGTTTCCAGTGTCCAGCTCAGGTCCTGGTAAAGAGAAGACACTTGCTCAGTGAGTATTTGTGCAATCTATATCTCTCTGCCCTAGATGAGATGACCATGTAGATGAATAATCCCCCATTCAGAAAGGTAAATGTTATAACTTAGAGCTATGCAGGGAACTGGGGGGGGGCAAACTAGGTCTAAAAGTAGAAGGTGGAATCTAGAAAGTTTCTCAACCTTGAATGGGGCAGAATAGAATAAACAAAAGAATAAAAGCCTTCCCTAAAAAGGTCCAGTTAACTGGTTACAAAAAAAGAGTTCACTATCAGAGACTTACACAAGACCCAGATCTGAGTCACAAATTCTAAAATGAGGTTATCACAAATTCTAAAATGAGGTTAACTGTAGGAAGAAAAATTACATAGTGTGACTTCCTGAGGCCCACTTATCTTGACTATCTTCCCAAAGTATGGGGTATGTGGGAGAATCCCATTAAAAGCAGTATTAAGACCATACTAATGGGGGGCACCTGGATGGCTCAGTCAGTTGAGCATTCGACTTCGGCTTAGGTCATGATCTCATGGTTCGTGGGTTCGAGCCCCGCATCGGGCTCTGTGCTGACAGCTCAGAGCCTGGATCCTGCTTTGGATTCTGTGTACTCACCTCTCTCTGCCTCTCTCCCACTCATGCTCTGTCTCGCTCTGTCTCTCAAAAATAAATAAATGTTAAAAATTTTTTTAAACAAAGAAGACCATACTGATGGGTTACAAAATCACAAAATGGGATCTCCTTATTAGTAATGCTTGGGAGTATGTGAGTATGAATGCATTTATGGGGGGTAAGGGTGTAGAGGGGAGATTGGCTACACGCTTACAGTTTAGGTGTTTATATGTGAGTATCAGACCTTCTGTGGCAACAGCCTAGGTAACACTTCCTTCTTAGCCACTTCCCTGGCCCACTATCCCCCCCCCCCCACTATATTCAGCCCCATGCCTAGGGCCCAAGGCTCACTGCATCGTAGTCCTAGGAGTGACTCTCCACAGACTATAGTCACTCAGGGAGAAGAGCAGCTGTACGGCTGTGGTGGTATTGCCTGTGGAGGCTAGAGAAAAAAAGCAGGATCACTAATCTCAGAGCATGAAGTCCTGAAACATCTCCAGAAATTCGATTCCTGTTCTCCCACTCCTCTTCACCTTGAGACAGCCCTCTGAAGGAAGTAGCCTAAGGACTTCAACTTCCATTATAGTAAGGAGGTTACTGAAGCTCAGAAAAGGTGAAAAGCTTGTTCAAAGTGCCACCGCAAACCAGACCTACTTTATACACCATTCGGGAGGTAAGAGATATAATTCCTACCATCCAGTTCACTCAAAACTGGAATAGACAAAGTTAGACTTTTCAAGGTGTTAGGGAACTGCATCTTTATGACAGTGTCCCACAAAGACAGGTGGGAATGGATGACAAATAGATAGATAGATAGATAGATAGATACATACATACATACATACATACATAAATTAGACATAGATATCCTCTTTTCTCCAACTCTTCCATACCCTTTAATCCACACTTCAAGCAATCCCTATGTAAAGAAAACTTTCCAGAGAGCCTGAAGAATGGATTTGGGTTTGTGTAACCCCATCTATTTTTCCTTCTGTCTCACCTACCTGTTCTCCTAGAGGTTTTTTCTTCCATCGCTAATTATCCAACACACAGCTTTCTTGCATTTAGACCCTCAAAGCAAGTCCATGAGTGGCATCAAAGAGAGAGCCTGGAGGCATTGGTTGTTTCCTTGGAAAGGCTAGGGAAGTACCCTGGGTAAGAGGGGCATGTGTGCCCTCTGTTGAAATATCAGCTGTTAGTTATCAAAGAAGTTCGTGAGCCACCCGGAGCCTTTACTCTTCAGGCCAACCATGTGTTCTCCTTGCACCAAAGGTCAGAACTAATATTAACAAGCAACTGCAAAATGGGTAAATTAAAACCAGCAATGGAGACAGGCAAGATCTGGATTTCCTCGGTGCTGGGTTTCAAATTGGTCTTCAGTGTAAATGGACATGAACTCTTACTGGGCAGTGCTTTGGCAATACGAAAGAAGAGCAATAAAAATGTTAATTTCCTTTGTCCTAGTTATCCCACTCCTGGGACTCAATCCTGAGCCAATAACCACCAAAGCATGAAAAAGCTCAAAGCAACAAATTTTTTTATTTTAATTGCAGAGCTATTTATCTTGATGGCAATAACTGGAAGGTAACCTTTAAGTCCTCTAGGAGGAAAAGCAGCTCTTTGGGTCTTTTCTGCAGACATTGAGGATTATGGCTCTAAGACTATAAAATAATTCTGGGGAAAAATAATCATGTTGCAATTTGGGGTGAGGAACCTAAGACTGCAAAGTCATGCTTTTCCTTGGACATTAGGCATGTCTATTAGTTATATTGTGTGTTCTGAAAAACATGTCAGAACATGTTTTTGCGTTTGTCCTGTGTTTGTTCATTCAGTTAGGAAATATTTATAGACTCCTAATATATGCTGTCCCCTAGATTAGAGGATGGGGCTAACAAGATGAATCAGACATGGCCAATGCTGTCAAGTTGCTGGAAGTTGTGTGACAAAAACAGAAATCAATGGTAGCTGTGTATTGTGATAAGTGCTGTGACAGAATGGATCAGAGGGAGCTGTGGGGGCCCAGAGGAAAAGATCTAACTGGGGAGGTGTGGTGTATGGGTGTTAGGAAAAACTTATTCAGGAAAGTATTCCTTGAGGTGATTAAGGTAGTGTTTGAATCCTGGCTTTACCACTTCTGTGAGACAGATGAATTCACTCATTCTCTCATACTTAGCCTTAATACCCCTTACAGGGTTGCCCAGCGAATGAAACAAATAATGTATATGGAAGAGCTACGGGCTACACTGGGAAACAGTGCTGCTCTGGAGATTGGGTGGCCCACTTAAATTCTCTGGTCCTCGATTTTACTAATCTGAGAAATGGAGCCTATAAAAAGTATGTGTTGGGCCATGTCCTTAGGAATGTCATAAGGCATTATAAGACACATAATGGCTCTAAGGTGGGTTTGAGACAGCTTCCTCCCTTCCTCTCTCCTTGCCCTTCAAAGCTAGGAGCCTAATCCTAAATCTTATTCCACTAATGTACTTCTTCCTGTTCCCTCTAGCCGCGCAGTGTCCTTCCCGCCTCCCCTCTCCTACCCAAGCACAGTTACAGCCATTACTGCCAGGACGTCAGTGACACAGCCAGCAGCGCACTTAGGGGGCAGTCGCACTAGGGACGGGGCTTCAGTCGCAGCGCGGTTCCGTTCAAGGTTCCGCTGCTTAAAAAGTGGTGAAATCTCGTTTGTAAGTAATTGGCGGCACCCAGGGGGCTTTTGAGCAGCAAGGAAAGGAAGTCTGACGCCAGTGAACGACGGGAGGAGCATGAGCCTAACTGCTGAGCTTTCTCCTGCCATTCATTCCACCCACGGATTTTCACCACACCCTTCAGCTTCCGCTCCTCCCGCCAATAAGAACTTGAGGAACTCAAAGCCCTCCCCAACCTTCAACGACGCTGTTGTGGCGCGCAGGAGAACGCAGGCGCCATTACGCGCGGAAGGCAGAACTTGGCCAAGTTGAGGGTGTCCCGCCGACCTGTGGCCCCTAGGTTGGGCGCGGACTGTGAGGCGTTGCAGTCAAAATGTTGCGCGTGGTGAGCTGGAACGTCAATGGGATCCGGAGCCCCCTGCAAGGGATGATATACGAGGAGCCCAGCAACTATGCCGCCATGGTCGTGGGGCGCATTTTGGACAAGCTGGACGCCGACATCGTGTGTTTTCAGGAGACGAAAGTGACCAGTGAGCGCTCAGAAGTCCAGGACCCATACCATACTTTACCTTTTCTACTAACTTTTGCCCCCTACTTATTATCATTTTACTTTCCTATTTCTCTATCAGTAGAGTCCTCTTAGACACGGTTCAGAATCCTGACCCTCTCCCCCTTAAACTCCTATCTCTCACGCCAGCTTTATGTCTTAATTCCCACTTCATCTCCTGTCCTCCGCAGAACTTAATTCCCTCACCCTTGTAACCTTCATCCTCGCTCAGATCCCCTAATTTGCACTCATTATCCTGTCCCAGATCAGTACTCCAAATTTCCAATTTCCACACCCTGTCCAGCTCCAACTCCCAAATTAGATCCCCCAACTCCCCTTCCTTGCTCCCAGCTCAGATCCTTTAATTTCCACCCCACCTTTGCCCTCAGTTCAGATTATCTAATTCCTTCCTTTTTACCTCTCCATCTCAGATCCTCAGTTCTCCCCTCACGTCCCCTATTTCTCTACCCCCATCTCTCCTTCCCAGACTCAGAACCTTATATCATTTCTATCACATGTCCCACCCCAAGATTAGATCCCCTAAATTACCTCTCTCACACACCCTAGCTCAACACCCCCATTCCTTCCCTCTCCCATGCACCCCCTCTAAGACCCTCTAACTACATTTCCCTCCATCCCCAATTCAGATCCTCTAATTGCCTCCCTCTCATACCTCCTATTCCTAGCTCAGATTCCCAGTTCCGTCTCCCATATTCCCATTCCCCACCTCCAGCTCCTTCCATTAACCTAATCATTAGCTTCCTCTCGCCTAATTCCCTTCCTCACATTCCATAGCCTCCCCCTCCTTATATCAATTTCTTCTCTAGTCCCTGCCTTTCTAGCTTCTCCTCTAATCATAGATATTTCCTCCCAACTCTGGCTCTGATATGTGTAAGGAATTAGCCTACAACTGTTAATTACAGACCTTTGTGTATCTGGGGCTTTACTTTAGGGGTTTTTCCTTTTGTTTGTTTATTTGTTTGTTTTTGCAGGGGATGTGCTGACAGAGCCCCTGGCTATCACTGAGGGCTATAACTCCTATTTCAGCTTCAGCCGCAGCCGCAGTGGCTATTCTGGTAAATGGGGCTTTCTGGGAACTTAAAATGAGTGATGGAGGCAGTTCCGGGGGAGTTTTCCAATATTTGATGAGAAGGTCGTAAGAAACTCGGGCTTTTTCTTAAGTTTTTTTTTTTTTTTTTTGAAATTACAAAGCTACTTCTAATACTTTGGGGTAAGCCCCACAGGAATAAAAATACTGGGAAGGTGTAACCCCCTCACCCCCAGGGTGATCCAGGGGAGAAAGAGGCTACCTGAGGGGAAGGAAGTACAAAAAGGGACATGCTGCAAACTCAGGGCAAAGGGAATGCCATCTGTGCTGGAACCTGTGAGAAAAGGCAAACTTTGGTGGGGCTGGCTCCAGGCACACAGGGAAGGGCAAGAGGATTGGACACAAAGATACATGGATTCCTCCTTCTTCTCCTTAGCCTTTTTCTGCTTCTGCTGAATGATCTCGGAGTCCCTCTGCATGCGGGTAGCAGCAGAAGCCTGTCATTCTCATTCTTTGGACTTCCCTTAACCTATTCACTCTACTTTTTCATATTCTGGCTGGTGAGCTAGCTGGTTACCATGGGTCATGGTGAGGGCAGTGGCTCTGGCCTGCGTCTTTTGCATCCCCTAATTCTGTTCAATGTTGAAGGTCCCCAGGCTTTTAATCCGCAGAGCTAAAGTCACATAAGATTATGTGAAGGATAGTTTTTATGTATAAAATTATTCTATTGGACTTTGGAAGCAATCATGTGGTAGTAAATTGTATGAGCTCTAGAGCCAGACTGCCTGGGTTTGAATCCTGTTTCACTTCCTAGCTGTGTACCCTCTGGCAAGTTACTCAACCTCTACATGCTTCATGTTTCCAGCTGAAAAATGGGAGATAATGCCTACCTCCTAGGGCTAGTATAGGCATACTTTGTTTTGTATGTATATATAGTATGCATGTATATTATATGTATATATGTATGTATATATTATATGTATATATAATACTAATATATAAACTTCTATGTAAATAAATATATAACATGAATTTACATATCTATATATAAATATACATATATATATAAAACACTTTGTGTTTTGCATGTATTGTGTTATTTATGTATTTTAATGTTTATCTATTTTGAGAGAGAGTGTATGCGATCAGGGGAGAGGCAGAGAGAGAGTGAGAGAATCACAGTAGGCTCCATGCTGACAGCACAGAGCCCAACATGGGAGGGCCTCGATCTCAGAAACTGTGAGGTCATGACCAGAGCCAAAATCAAGAGTCAGACACTTAACCAGCTGAGCCACCCAGGTGCCCCAGATACTGCATTTTTTGTAAGTTGAAGGTTTTATGGCAATCCTGTGTTACAAGTCCCTTGGCACCATTTTTCCAGCAACACTTGCTCACCTCATGTCTCTTTGTCAGTTTTTGGTAATTCCTACAATATTTCAAACATTTTTATTACATTTGTTATGGTAATCTGTGATCACTGCTTGCAAGTTGGTAAAAGCTCAGGTTAACAGGTTAGCACTTTTTAGCAATAAAGTATTTTTTACTTAAGGCATATACATTGATTTTTTTAGACAAAATGTTATACATTTAATAGACTACAGCATAGTAACAACGTAACTTTTATCTGCACTGGGAAACCATAAATTTCATTTGACTCGCTTTATTACAATATTTGCTTTATTGTGGTCTGGAACTAAACTCACAATCTATTGGGGTATGCCTATACAAGGATTAAACAAATTAGGCCATGTGATAATAATAATAGCTAACACTTTTTGGGTATTTACCATGTGTCCATGTAAAACACTTAGAATATTAACTTATTAATTCTGTGGCTTTTTTAGATGAAGGAACTCAGACTCCATGGTTTGAGTAGAGTTGCCTTGGGCTCTTGGAGCCATCCATGGCCCTTGAGTTGGGAGGGTTGTCATTACAGCAACACTTGATGAAGATGTCTAAGGTGACCTGTGTGGGGACAACAAGCTGTGCAATAGGCTGTTGGCTTCTAGGTCTGCTCAGAGTACCCTGTCTGTCTCCAGGTGTAGCCACCTTCTGTAAGGACAGCGCTACCCCTGTGGCTGCTGAAGAAGGCCTCAGTGGCCTACTTGCCACTCAGAAGGGGGACGTGGGTTGCTATGGAAACATGGATGAATTCACCCAGGAGGAGCTTCGGGCTCTGGATAGTGAGGGCCGGGCCCTTCTCACACAGCACAAAATCCGGTAATAATTCACATCCCCCTGTCACTGAGCATTGCTGCTTCTTTTTTTTTTTTTTTTAATGTTTTTTTTTTTTTTTTCAACGTTTATTTATTTTTGGGACAGAGAGAGACAGAGCATGAACGGGGGAGGGGCAGAGAGAGAGGGAGACACAGAATCGGAAACAGGCTCCAGGCTCTGAGCCATCAGCCCAGAGCCTGACACGGGGCTCGAACTCACGGACCGCGAGATCGTGACCTGGCTGAAGTCGGACGCTTAACCGACTGCGCCACCCAGGCGCCCCTGAGCATTGCTGCTTCTAACTCTGAGTATGGTGATTCTGAGGCTTGCCTTAAAAAACATGTACTCATGGAAAACTTCCCAAATTTGCCTTTCTTGGACTCTAGTTCTATCTGGGCTATTCACTGTGTGACGTTGGGCCAATCATGTTCCCTTCTGAGCTTTGAGTTCCCCATCTCTACAGTGGGGAACTGCAGGAGGTCCAGCTCTCTTATTACCCAGGCACCTCAAAAGCAACTTGGCAACTCATCACTCCCAGGTTGCTCTCTTTCTGGGTGTCTTGTTGTGAATGGCAGCACCATCATGTGGTTTACCTGGGGGTCATTCTAGATGCCCCTCTCTTTTACCTTATCTGTAGTCAGTCCCCATGTCCTGTGCATGCCAGCTCATTCATGTCTTTCTGTTGCCTTCTTCACATCCATCCCACAGACAGCCATTAAGTGGAATCCACATGGTATGGGGAGGGAAAGCTTGGAAATGACCTTTTTGGCTGGGGGGCGGTCTCTTCTCCCCAGCACATGGGAAGGGAAAGAGAAGATCTTGACCCTAATCAACGTGTACTGCCCCCACGCGGACCCTGGGAAACCTGAGCGGCTGGCATTTAAGATGCGCTTCTATAGCTTGCTGAAGATCCGAGCAGAAGCCCTCCTGGCAGCTGGCAGGTATTGTAAACCTGGGAAGTACTTGAGCTTGTTCTAGGTACACAGCCTATTTAGGTGTCAAGCTTTATTGGAAGGAATATGGGGTCTTTGTCTTTTGAGGTCCTTTAAAGCCTAGATGGAGACACCAGCATGCCTACCTGAATGGGCCCTGCTCTGTATGAGCTGTAAGGACCAGAAAAAGTGATACAAATATGGGTTTTATTCTCAGATACCTCTGAGCACCTATTCTGGTTCCTTTTACTCACTATGAGCCCCAAGTCTAGTTCTGGTTTTATTTTCTCTTTTGTTAAGTGAATGTATGAATTCCTACCTCACAGAATAATTTTAAGGATGGAATGAGACAAAGAAAAAGTGCCTGGAAGCAAATGAAAAGTCTTGTCCCAGGGAAGGACAGGAAAGTGAGGGTGGCTTAGAGTAATCAAGGGTTGCTTCCTAAAAGAAGTAGTACCTGAGCTCAACTTTGAAGGACCAGAAAGATGCCTTAGGTAGAGATCAGTAAGACAGTCGTGTCAAATAGGGAATGATGTCATCTTTGGAGATCAGAATTGGGTTGGTCAGACATAAAATGTGGTAATCTTGTGGTAAGATTGGAGAGGTAGGCTGCTATGCATTGCTGTGGGTTCCCACCTTGGCCTCAAGGTGGGAAGTGGCTAATCTGAGCTCTTGGGCCCAGGGGAAAGTACATGGGCCAGAACTATTGCTTCCCTTTCTTGAATGTCTAGTTGATAATCCCATATCATGTTTTTCAGCCATGTGATCATTCTAGGTGACCTGAATACAGCCCACCGCCCCATTGACCACTGGGATGCAGTCAACCTGGTAAGGCTCTTCTAGGCCCCTGCCTCATTTCTTTTTTCTTTTTTTTTTCTGATTGGGTTTCTGTTTAGCCAACCAACCAATGCTGGATTTTGGGGCCAAGGATAGCTTCCTTCATGGAAAAGCAGAGCTTAGTTTGAAATACTATTCTAAAAGCACTGAGGATTATTCATTCAGACGACATTACTGATCTTGCCCTTGGCTTGGTCCTGAGCCATGTGTGGGGGACTCAGTTACCAGTCAGTACTGGCTCTTGGACCCTCAGAGGGCTCAGCATGGTGATGGGCTATGGACATATGAACAGCCAATTACAGAAAGGTGTCTTCAGGCTGAAGCAGAGATGGCAGGCCAGGAGTCTAGGCGTGCCTGGAGAAATGGGATTCCTGAGCCAACATAGACATTAGGGAGGCACCTGGAAATGGTTGGATTTTAATAGATAAGTAGAACAGAGCTTTGGGGTGGAGAAAGCAAAGCATTCTAGCATGAGCAAAGGCTGCAAGGTGAGAATTTGCCTGGTGTGCATGGTGAACTGCAAGTCCCATTCTTGTTAGGCAGTGACATGGAAAGGGAGGTGAGTGGCCAGAGATGGGGCTGGAGAGTCCTTTGGGGGCCAGATTTCAAGGTCCTTGAACTCTACATTGCCTTGATCATTTCCCTAATATTCCCTGGTTTCTTGCTCATGAGCCTTCAATACCTCCCTGTTACTTGTGCAGTGCAGAGAAAACATCTAGGCCTGGCATTGAAGACTTTTTCTGGTCTGTGCCCAGTCTCCACTTCCATCCTCAGTACTCCTACATACTCCATCCACTGCAGACAGATCATCTCCTCTCAGTCCATTGCAAAAGTTATTCTCATTTTGGCCTTTCTCACTGTACCATTCTGTCTTTTTTTCTTATATGAATGTCTCATCTCTGAGTGCCTCTAGGCCGATGGTTCTCACCCCGATAGCACATTAGAATGAGGAACTTTTACAAGAGTATCAATATCTTGGTGCCACCCAGACCAATTAAATCAGAATCTTTTGGGCGTGGGGCCAGAGCAGCAGTATGTTTTAAAAGGTCCTAGGCTGATTTTATTGTACAGTCAAGCTTGACTAGAATCTATAAGCCGGTTCCCAATTTGCCTTATAAAGGGGAGTGATCAGTAATTTATGCTGGAATAGTCCAACTCAGTATTGGGCATGGCTCAAAGAAGGGGCTGTAGGAAGATTCCTTGATTAGTTTGCAGAAGAGCCACATAAACATAGATGTGGCTTCTAGCTGGGAAAATGAACAGAAATGAGATAATGAAAGAATGGTGGTGGTTGTGTGTGGTGGGGAAGACTGTACATTACAAAACCTTCGGTCCCTCCCTACCTTATTCCTCATCAGGCATTTACTCAGTTTGTTCTTTCTGCTTCCTGAGATAGTTTATATAACTTTATACCTTTTCTTCTTAGTTCAGAACTATTGTAGATCTCAAAAGTGCACCTCTTCTTCCTTCTGGGTAAAGAGAATTAATAGTACCAGGTCACATGACAAGCACAAACTTTCCAAAATAGCAGAATATGTCCACTTCCTAAAAGACTGGCTCTTTTAGTCTTTTTTTTAATAAGCTCCATGCCCAACATGGGGCTTGAACTCAAGACCCTGAGATCAAGAGTCGTACGTTCTACTAAATGAGCCAGCCAGGTGCTCTTCATCTCCCTAAATGGCACCATTATCCCCTTGGCTACTCCAACCAGAAGTCTGGGAGTTGTGTTAGTATTGTTCTTTTCTATCACCCCATCCCACATTCAATTGATCAGTGAGTACTATTGACTTTAGTTTCAAACCATCTCTTAATTTCATTTCTCTTTGTCTCCTCAGGCCCTACCCTAGTCTGAGTGATTATCTTCTCTTGCTTGCATGGACTATGATAGTTATCCTACTGGTCTGCTGGTCCTCAGTCTGGTCTCCCCTCAAGTCTTTTGGGTACACTGCTCCCTCTCTCCACAGGCCCCTTACAGAGGCTGCCCTCTCAATTTATAACACCCTCTGCCTGGCTTGCTCTTGCTCAGCCTTCACTTCCCAGCTCTAGATCACTTTTCAGGATGAGTTCAGGTTTCTACTTTGTCCCTAGCATCATGCCTGGCAAATAATCTTTGTTCTTTGAACGTTTTTCATTTAATGAGTGGGTGGGCAGGGGGATTGGATGGATGGATGAGTTGGGGATCAGAGCCAAAGGAAATACTTAGGCATAGATTTGTGGAGCTCCTCATCTGAGGAGTTGGTGGGGTAGTGGGAAGATGGTCTGTGAGGCCTCTGACACACACAAGATAAGACAAATTGTTCCAGAGGGTTTAAATGAAAAGGGTAACAGTCTTAACTCCTAATCCCAGTCCTACTTCCTAGAGGTAACCATTTTTAGCTTTCTGCTTTCCATCCTTTTGGGAGCAGTTTGAGAATTGCTTTGATTAAGCAAACAAGCTTTCAGATTTGGCATTTATGGATCAATGCAAGGCAAATGTAACCTGATACAGAAGGAAAAACAAACATGGGCTTTTAAATAAGTAAGGATGGAAATTGAATCCCAGTTCTGCCAGTTCTGGACTGTGTGACCCTGAGTATTAGTCTTCTTTGGAACAATCAAGTTTTCTAATCTGAAAAATGAAGCAGTTGGTTTTAAGTCTCTTCCAGGTCTAGGCATCTAGTTTTGCCTGTTTTCTTCTTTCCCCTTTGCCAGGAATGCTTTGAAGAGGACCCAGGGCGCAAGTGGATGGACGGCTTGCTCAGTAGCCTGGGATGCCAGACTGGGTCTCATGTGGGGCCATTCATTGATAGCTACCGCTGCTTCCAGCCAAAGCAGGAGGGGGCATTCACCTGCTGGTCAGCAGTCAGTGGTGCCCGGCATTTGAATTATGGCTCCCGGCTTGACTATGTGCTGGGGGACCGGACCCTGGTAATAGACACTTTCCAGGACTCCTTCCTACTGCCTGAGGTGATGGGTTCTGACCATTGCCCTGTGGGTGCAGTCTTGAGTGTGTCCTCTGTGCCAGCAAAAGAGTGCCCACCTCTGTGTACCCGCTTCCTCCCTGAGTTTGCAGGCACCCAGCTCAAGATCCGTCGCTTCCTAGTTCGTCTCAAAGATCCTGTGTTCAGGCATTCAGCACTGAAACTCAACAATAAAACCCAGGTACAGATGCACCAAAACAAAGCCCGTGTGCGCTCAACCAGGCCTCGGCCAAGTCAAGCTGGCTCCAGCAGAGGCCAAAAAAACCTGACAAGCTACTTCCAGCCATCTTCCAGCCATCCCCAAGCTTCTCCTAACTTGGAACTTCCTAGTGTGGGTGCCCTCGTGACCCCAAAGATGTCAGAAAAGGAGCTGATGGCCAAAGTGGTAGAGGGGCAGGCCAGTGCTTCAGAGGCCAAGGATGAGAAGGAGATACGGACCTCTTTTTGGAAGTCTGTGCTAGGGGGGCCCTTGTCCATGCCCCTCTGTAGGGGCCACAGGGAGCCATGTGTGAGGCGAACTGTGAAGAAGCCAGGACCCAACCTGGGCCGCCACTTCTATATCTGTGCCAGGCCCCAGGGTCCTCCCACTGACCCTTCCTCCCGCTGCAACTTCTTTCTCTGGAGCAGGCCCAGCTGAATCAACCCAGGCCTAGGGATATCTATCATGGTTAACCCTGTACATACTCAGGCCAGCCCCCTCCTAGGCTACCTCTTCCTCCCCCAAGTCCTCCTCCTCTTCTTCCACTTTCCTCAAGGACCCTTCCCTTTCCTCTTTCTCTTCCTCTTCCTTCTTTAAGGCCTCTCTTACTCTTTCTTCTTCCTGCCTAGCTCCTCCTCATTGGTGAGCTACTTGTTTGTGCCCTATTGCTGTGACCCAATTCCCCAATGTGCTTCCCACCTTCCTGTCAGAAGTACACAGGAACCAATTGCCGTAGAAAGTTGGTTTTAAACCCCTTTATTCCTTGCTGACAAATATATCTGTGCCTAAATAAAGTCTGTTTTTATTTTAGCATACCATGTCATGTACACAATTTGGATATGCTCCATGAAGTTGAGTTAGAGACATTATCTCAACACTGGATTTCCCAGCGGCCTGTAGCCTGATGATACAACTCCTAGAGAGAGGGGAGGAAGGAAGAGTGGTATTCACTATAAAGGTGCTCTGTTGAGTTGTAGGGATTCCTTGCACTGCTGATGTTGGATCAGCAAGGGAGGTGGGTGTGGTGTGTTAGAAAGCTCAGGTGGATTGTGTAGCCTTAAACTGGCACTTCCCAACTGGTGTGTTCCACAGCTGCCACAAATGTATTATAGGGTAGAAAGAAATGGCCTTAGAGTTTCCAAGCAGGGCACAAATGTCAGGAGAGATTGCCTCCTAAGCAAGTGGTGTCATTAGTTCACCCAGGAGTGCCATGCAAATGTTTTCTGTGTGCTATGGCCTGGAAAGATTGGGAGCATTGCCTTGAAAAAGTTGTTTGCTATAGCCAAGTCTCTTTCCCACCTTGGAAAATAGAGCTGGTAAGTCCTGTTCTACAAGGTACTATGGAAAAGAAAGAGGACATCCATTCTATCTGCTGGATAATACCTCCAAAGTTTTGGGGAACTATTCCTCTCTTCCAGATAGTTCAGTTAGGGCTGATTCTATCTCCTGACTTCAGGGGCTACATGGGCCTATTGTGTCCAGGTCTACCATTAATGAGTCAGTCAGTCCCTGGATTTTCCTCATGGCGCTGCCACTCATCTGAAGGAGTCAGATATGCAGTTTTCTGTCTAATAAAGGGCTACAAATGCTGCAGTTTGTTATTTGTTTATTTTTAGACTGAAGTCAGCTAGAGGCACACAATAAAGCAGAGGATAGGAGGAGGCTCAGTCCGAAGTGAAGTGCAGATGGGGTGGAGCTTTCAGGCAGCTGGCTTCTCAGGCATAGGTGGTGACATACTGGGGCCCCATGTTTCCAAAGTAGGAGCGTTCCCACTCACTCATAAGCTCAAAGTGCACAGGCCGGTGACAGAAATTGCAGGCAGCCATAGACACATCCTGGAGAGGCAGCCCCACCTCAGTCCAGGCTACCAGCAGCTTCTCTAAAGGTGGTAGGAGGTGGGGAAGGAAAGAATTGGTTAGACTAGGTCTTAATCCCTGTGTCACAATACAGATGTGCCAAGATAATGATCCCCTCAAACCTCTCAGATATCTTAGAGCCAGAAGTAACCTCTTCTGTTTGCTCCATTGTGTGCTATGAATGTTACCATTTGTGTGTGGGTGCTGTTATATACAAAAGATTGGGAAGCATTTGACACAATTTAAAGCTGTACTGGCCTGGTCTGGACCACTCTGTAAGTACAGGACATGCTGTGGCCTAAGAAGTGAATCCATCTGCTTGGAAACTCAGCCTGATAAGTTAACACTGACAATAATGATGCAGTGTCATCATTGTGACCTGGGAGCCTGGGGCAGAGGGAGTTCCTGGAGTGGGTGGGAACCCAGAGGAGAGAACCTGACCCTGTTGTTGGAAGTGCCTCAAGTGTGTGCCAGGGCTCTATCCTTGGCTTTGTTTTTATGCTTACTCCCTGGGAGATCTTGTCTAGTCGCATGGCTTTTAAATACCATTTATATGCTAATTCTGAACATTTCAACTCAGCCCAGACCCTTTTGAATTCTAGATTTGTATATCCAATTTTCTTTCTGTATTTCCACCTGGGTGTCTGATAAGCATTTTTCACTTCACATGAACACAACTGAGCTAATTATCTCCCTACCTTCCATCAAGTCTAATTTCAACCTTACCCATCTCGCAGTTGATGGCAATTCCAGTTGCTCATTTGAAAAATTTTAGAGCCATCCTTTATTTTTCTCTTTTTCTCCTACCACACATCCAATTTATTAGCAAGTAACCACTGGCCAGCAAGTAACCACTGGCTTCACCTTCAATAATTAAAACACTTCTCATCACCTTTAATGCCATCATCAGGTCCTAGTCACTATCCTCTCTTACCTGGATTATTACAGTAGCCCCCAAATGGATCTCTCTGCTTCCACTCAGTCTCCCTTTCAGTCTATTCTCAACATAGAAGTTGGACCAGTTCTATTAAAATGTGAGTCAACTATGTCACTCTGCTCAAATCCTTCAAATGATTGTCTATTTCAGAGTTAAAGCCAAAATCCTTCCACTGGACTACAATACCCTACACAGTCTGGCCTCACATTTCCCCTCACCCACTTTTCTGTCTGCCTCTTGCTTATACCACTTCATCTACACTCATCTCTTTATTGTTCCTCAAGTACAGAGGAAATACTCCTGTGATTGGGTCTTCCCTGCCTTATGTTGTTCCATCTGCCTGGATGACCTTTCTTTTGATATCTACCCAGCTAATTCCTTCACTTCCTTCATAGCTTTGTTCAAGTGTCACCTCAATGATCTCTACCCTTAACACTTTAATGCTACAACCCTCCAAACTAACTCCTCCCCAAAAGCACTTCTTATCCCCTTATCCTGCTTTTTTTCCCCCATAACACTTAAAAGTACCATGCTATAATGCATTACTTATTTTTTAAAGTTTTTTGACTATCTCCTTCCACTAGAATATAGTCTCCAGAAGGATAGTTATTGTACACCTTTTGTTTACTGCTATATCTCCAGCACCTAGAACAGTGTCTAGCAACAGTACATACTCCCATACTCAATAAATATTTGCTGAAAGAATGAATGAAAGGATGGCTGATTTAAGTCTAGAAGGTAAAAGGATGTAAGCCGGAGGGAAGAGTGAAGGAGAGCGTTCCTATTAAAAGGGAGCATAAGGGGCGCCTGGGTGGCGCAGTCGGTTAAGCGTCCGACTTCAGCCAGGTCATGATCTCGCGGTCCGTGAGTTCGAGCCCCGCGTCGGGCTCTGGGCTGATGGCTCAGAGCCTGGAGCCTGTTTCCGATTCTGTGTCTCCCTCTCTCTCTGCCCCTCCCCCGTTCATGCTCTCTCTCTCTCTTTCCAAAAAAAAAAAAAAAAAAAAAAAAAAAAAAAAAAAAAAAAAGGAGCATAATTGGCAAAGCACCAGAGGTAAGAAAGTAGAGCAAACTGAGGGAACTATAAGTCACTCAGTGTAACTAGAGAAATAAAAAACATGTGGAAAAAAAGTGAGGACATAGAGATCACCAGGTTGAAGGCATTGAAGGTCATGCCAAGGAGCTTCAACTGTTATATATGCCAGTGGTCTCCAAATTTTGGAGTGTACATTCTATCAATACAAACATTTTAGCACATACCTTCAATCTGTGTATATTTTTTATATACTGAAACTTGTATCATCAGTCTATATGTTAAAGATCCATATCAGTAATGCCTAATTTCCTATTTTTAAGATATAAAAGGTAAACACAAGATTCTAATAGCCCTGCTCATCCTATGGATCATCTTGTATACCTCACATTGGAGACCACTGCTCTAGTCTAGGCAAATAGGAAACATGAAGAGGTTTAAGCAAGAGAGGTAGTCAAATGTTTACAAAAACCCCTCTGATGGTCATTATAGGGAAGAAATTAGGGATCAAGAGAGAAGCAGAATAATTAGGAAGAAATAACATTGACATACTAAAAAACTGGCAATAGAAAAAACAGATTAGGCTATAGAGACCAGTTGCAGGATTTCAGGAAGGGTCGGCTGTGGGATTGAAAGATTGGTGGAGTAATCATAGATGCTTCTCATATATCTTTCCTGCAAAAGCTCAGTGTAAATGGACACTCAGAGAACCAAGAGTACTGAGGACTCTATAATTGAAGCCCAGAACAATTTAGAGGACTGAGCAAAAGATCCAGGAGTCTGGATCATCAGCTGAGGTAGTAGACTTAGTGGTTATGGCAATGGAAGTAGAGACAGACTCCCCAGTTCAAATCTAGTAGCTGTGTAATCTTAGACCCATTACTATATATTTTTATGCTTTGATTTCCATATATATATATATATATATATATATATGAAATGGAATGGAAATATAATGGAAATGGAAACATATATATGCTTTGATTTCCATATATACATATATATATATATGTATTATATATATATATAATGGAAATGCTAATAGCATCTCTATCCCATGAGTATTAGGTAAGTTAATACATGCAGTGTTTGGAACAGTGCTTGGGACATGTAAGTACTTAATAGAAGTTGGCTAGCATATTTGGTGTTTTTAAATGAATGAATGGCACCTAAGTATCTTGTCTTCCTTGAACTCTAATACTGCCTATGCTCCAGACATACAGAATGACTGTTGCCAATGTATGTCCTCTGTTTTCCTATCTCTAGGTCCTTGATCATGGGATTGCCTTATTCTGGAATGTCCTTACACTATACCATGTGTACTTCAAGGTGCAGCACAAGGACTTCCTCACCCACAAAGCCTTCCTAACTTCATGCTTCCTACTTTACCTAGCCCTACGTGATCACTCTCCCTCCAGCTCCTGGAGTGCTAGAGCTCATCATACTGGAGCAGTACTGTCTATGTCTGTCTCCTTTGCTAGACCATCACCTGTCTACATGTCTTTTGCCCAACAGAGTTGGAATACACATCTGCTCTATGCCAGGCCCCATGCTAAAAACTGCATCCAATGAGAATTCAGTAAACTTTAGGTGAATTGACTAAACTGGCATCATTCAGGACACAACTCAACCTACTCGGTAGTTCTACAAGTCTTTCAACTCATTCTCTGTCTTATGTTGTCTTTGTAGCCTCATAGATTGACACTCTTCCACTTCATTCCTACTACCCTACTTTCCAGTAACACCTGCTTATTGTTCTTGATATATCTCAGGCTGCTTCCCACTATTCACCTTGCCTTTCTTCATGCTCTTCCCTTTGCTGGTATTCCCACACTCTCTTTCTTTTCTTGGTCCAATATCACTCACCTTGTAAGACTCAGCTCAGGTGTTACCTCAGTAGGAAGCCTGTCTTGAGTCTCACATGTTGGGTCAGGCCCCTCCTTTCTGCTCCCACAACTCCCTGATGCACTCTTTGTTGAAATTTGATCACCCCTTAAAGTCATTGTTTGTGTCCACTATGGCTCAACTGAACTAGAGCCCTATGGGTCTATTTCTCATCCATTTATTACCATAGTAGAGGGTCTGGCACACAATAGATATTCTAGAAATAAACTTTTAAACTGAATGGCATTCATTCTCTCAACTTCTTCAGATCTTGGGGCTGAAGGCAAAGAGACTGCTATAGACACCCATATTGAGAACTTACCCACAAAGTCATCCATCATCTGAGGGCTGTGGTGGGGTGAGGGTGCCAGGCGCAGCAGCTCTTCACCTCGAGGGACAGTTGGGTAGTTGATGGCCTGCACATAGATACCATGCTTGGAGAGCAGGAGATCACAGATCTTGCTGTTCAATGCTGCATCACCCACCTGGGGTCAGGAGAAAAGCCTGTCAGTATCTGCTAACCTAATAACTAGTTCCATTAAGCAGGTGGAGGGAGCCACATCAATGAACATCACTGAATTTTTGGACAGTTTTTTTCCATAAGGGGCTTATAGTGGCAGCTCCAGAATTTCTATTAAGGAGTTTCTCAGAGGCAGCAATTAAATTTGAAGGGGTTTGGATGGAGGTGGTGCTAGGTACCTTGTCTTGATTCTGTTTGCAGAGCAAGCACACTGGTTTTACCTAGATGGCATGTTAATTTGTGGTGGTTCTGGGTAAGAAGATACCCCCTCCATAAACTATCTCTGTGGTGCTTTCATTGGGTTAATAAAAAAATATATATCAAAATAGTCTTTCTCAGTATCCCCAATATTTCCCAATATCC